CACCGCGGCCGTGCGATGACAGACTGTGTCGTGACAAGACCCGAACGTGAGTCCATCTCGGAATTGTAGGTGTCTCACTAAGTGGATGACCACTGCGTGTCTGCGGGCCGCGAAACGCTCATCAAGTCCACCTACACTTGTGATTGGTCCACGGCTGGAGTGGCACTGTCGCCACTGCAGCGAAAGCTGACCATTGAGAGCAGCGGGCGGCGGACTTAAACGGACGCCGCGTCACGCATGAGGTGCGCCGGCTTGGTGTGCGCGCAATATCGTTGAATTTGTTTGAAACATAGGCTACAAAACCATGGCTCAACCAAAACCAGGTTGCAAGTTCACTGCCACCCGTCACGCTACAGCCGTGGTCATGAAATCTCATCTCCGCAATTTTGCTCAGACGCGCCAACCTTATGTGATAAACTGTTTATGGTTCGTGGTAGCCCGGGGTTGGCGCAGGTTTCTCCCCAGTGCAGCACACATATATCCACTTTGTTGAAGACAAATTTGTCCCGGATCTGATCCAGGTAACAACGCGCATTGGCTACCAAAGAGCATTCCGGAGAATGCTCATTGCTCATTTCGGAGAATGCTCACACTGCGCACTGCCATTTGTGGACTCAGCTGGCACAAATACCATGACTCTGTTAAGCAACGATTTGCCATTGATTCTCACCAAGCTGATTAAGAAATTCCTCACTTCAATCTTGCCTTCGATTCATACCGGAACACGTAAGAACCAAGGCGGCACCGGTTGCCCAAGCACCACAAGATTGCTTCATAAACTAATCTCGGGCCATTGCTGCATTCCCCTGTACCACACTCCGAACCATCTGCACCCAGCCTCCGCGAAACGTATTCCCACCTAGTCCGTGCAGCGCCGCAAGACCTGGGTGGGCTTGCTCGCAGCGGCATATATCTGAGCCTGGGTCAGATCTCACCGAGACAAGGTGTGCATGAGCGGCAGCGTTCAATGCTTACCCCTCCTGTCCGACAGCAAGCACTTACCGCCATTAAAAAGTGGTTGTCAGCTTTTTATGACTTCACGAGAGGAAAATGGTCATTGGGAGTAACGTAGAGTTGTTTGATGGGTGCTTACGCAGAGGCGCAGATGGCGGCGTGACGATGGAGTGCTGTTTATAGTGCCGGATTTTAGGCGACCGGATGATGGTGATGGTGCGGGAGAGAGGTAAGAAGACGTGGAGTGGGAGAGAGGAAAAGATTGACGCTCAGATACACCTAGTGGACAGAGAGGGAAGGAGATAGATAAGAAACAAAAGTAGGACAGGAGAGATAGACAAAGGCAGAGAACAAGAGGCAAAAAACGAAAGGGTGATAAGGCAAAGATGTGAAGGGCGCAAGAGCGAAAGAGAGAGAGAGAGAGAGAGAGAGAGGAGAGAGAGAGAGAGAGAGAGAGAGAGAGAGAGAGCCGGAGCCGAAGCCGAAGCCGGAGCCGGATTTGGAACAGTTTAATCTCTAATTTGCCATAGTTTTGTGCAGGCTTGGCTGTAGTTCGGCGCCCATTCCCAGGTTCACGAGGAGACCATTAATGCGGATGGCCTTGCGTTTCCGATGCACTCAGTGATCATCACTCGGCTCGCAATTGTCACGATGGACGAGTTTCAGCTCCACGTGCGGGATACGTTCGTGCCTACTTATTCTTTTAGTTTGTTTTGTCTCCCGCGATTAACAGCAGTTATGTTAATTCACACCCGGTCTCGTTCGCCGTTTTCATGACAGGAACGGCTGGGGTAGGGGATGAGGCAACTCTTCCATTTGCCATTTCTATGCTACTGATGATAGAACCACGTAAAAAAACGGCAACACCGGACTGCTTCAAGTTTTGTGTCTCGAGTTCAATAGCTGACATCACTAAACAAGATCACTGTTTTCTTCCAAAAGTTGCCCATTTCAGCTTTGGATGCCAATGTTTACAATACCATGCAATGCATCATCGCGACAACGGTACAGGTGTGTCTCTTGTTTAATTTGAAGTACATCATCATGTGTTGTTTGTGTTTTGCGCGCACATGAATGGTGTAGTTGTTCCGAAGATATAACAAGTGCAGTCCACGCCGCCCGTGATCGGTACCGCAGCCCGTCATTGGATGATCCGTCGGTTGTCAGCTGCCCCTCGGCTGTACCGGCGCCCGTGATCTGTACCGCAGTCCGCGATCGGTATCGCAGCCCGTGATCGGTACCGCAGCCCGTGATCGGATGATCCGTTGTCAGCTGCCGCTCGGCTGTACCGGCGCCCGTGATCAGTACCGCAGCCCGCGATGGGTACCACAGCCCGTGATCGGTACCACTGCCCGTGATCAGTACCGCAGCCCGTGATCGGTACCGCAGCCCGTGATCGGATGATCCGTCGGTTGTCAGCTCCCGCTTGGCTGTAGCGCCGCCCGTGGTCGGTACCGCAGCCCGCGATCGGTACCGCAGCCCGCGATCGCTACCACAGCCCGTGATCGGTACCGCAGCTCGTGATCGGATGATCCGTCGGCTGTCAGCTGCTGCTCGGCTGTAGCGCTGCCCGTGATCCTGGATTGCACGAAGGTCATCGATGGGAATCATCGCATCCGAAGGGAGGGGGGGGGGGGGGGGAGGGACGTCGCTTGTATTTCCTATCCGATACCGAAAGTTTCACTTCAAATGACAAAGCCGTTCTTGCAATAGTCCCATCTACATGAGGTGTGAAACTCAACACCGCCGTACGTCAGAGGCCTTCACAGGACGCTAGGAGCTGGTGAAAGTGTTCAGCGCGGGGCTTAAGGCTCCAATTTGGGTGGAGCTCATGAATTTTCGATTCAACACAGTCTCGGTACAGTCCATCGATCATGTAATCCCATGCTGAGGTGCAGTATTCACCTTAGAATGTGTATACTGTATACCGCCGTCATGGCGGAGACGCTCCGACAGTGAAAACATCGCCAAAAGTGTTCCTATTTCACTCTACTGCTTTTGTTGTCCTGCTTTCCTTCGTATGTTTTGCAACATGAAACTACAGTGTATCAAAGCGTGGTCAGCTATTTGCTCACATAGTTCAGGGAAGTACCCGTCGGCTTACTTGTGAAGTACGCGAAGCCGTGCTGGACCTAACTGTTTACAGGACCAGTTGGATGCGCTAGAACAGCGAGGGTCCCTCGAGCTGCGAGCCATGAGACTGCAGGATTGATAGATGCCTGCACAATTTGGCAATGCCGCGGCCGGGAACCACCCTCCCGAAGCGTCACCCACTGGCCTACCCTCCATCCCCCCCCCCCCCCCGGCGCCGCGCGTGGCATCAAGCCACGTGATATCAAGCTACGCGAATGCTGTGACGGACAACACCAGCCGAGGCTAGGGGTTCCTAAGAGCAGGGGGTTAGGGCTTCGTTGCACGGCTGGGCTGGCGCTGCTGCAGCAAGAGCCTGGCGATGGAGGGTTGGGAAGACACAGGAACGGCGAAGAGGACAGGAAGGATTTGGAAAAATGGACAAGTGGACACTGATATAAACAGGGCGTGTTATTGTTGGCCATGCCCGCAGCTCACAGCCGGGTAGCGAGGCGTCATGATGAGTGTTCCATCAACATGCCACGACACGGTCGCCGATTGTAGACGCTTCATTCCTAACCAAAGCTACAAAGGCCTTTGTGATTTAGTCTCGTCTCGCGAACGGCATGCGCCACCTCTGAGGCCTCCTGGCTATACCTGTGGCCATGTGTTGATCAGAAGCAAACTCAATGTGAGGCTTAGGGGCGCATGTTCTCACTCTGGAGGGCACAAGTCCGCTGGACCAAGACACCAATGATCGATCAACGTGACGTCCTGAGAGGGCTCCTAAGATCTTACTTCGTAACAGACAAAGCCACAGAATAAGAGCAGGGCAATGCTAGTGAGATGTCGGTTATTTAAGCCTGAAAGGAGCGTAATAGCTTCTCAAAAAGGTCTCGAACCTAAGCTATGAGCATAAAGTTATGCTCTGGCAAGAGCCCCTAAGTTCATAAGAACCATCGCAACATTAGAGAGGGTTATGAATCTTTGAAACATATCAAAAAGCGAATCCTAATCAAGCTTTCTGACAGCTCTAGTAACTTTCAGACACAAATATGTGTGAAGAGAATAAGACTGAAAACCCGAAATTGATATTTCAAGCTGATCGAATCGGCATTGATTGAGACTGTATGTGAACCAGCACCTGTCTCTGAGACGGCTCTTGGTACCGTCCCTCCCCTAGAACCGCCTCTGAGCGCGTCTCGGACTTTGTCTCCGAGTCCGCTCGTCTCTAGCATCGCTTCTAAACGCTACACTGACTCTAAAGGGAGTTCACAACGGGAATCTAAATAAAAACTAAGTAAAAACGGAAACCATAGCTTTTAAATTACGTCACGATGACGTAAAAGCGAGAAGTTCAAAGTTCAATTTCTGGAGTAAAAACACTCAGACAGACCAGTGATTTCAAAACAAAACCTAGATTTAACGGCGTAGATTTAACCGCCTCCAACTTTTCACGGAGAACGTATATTAAAACAGCTTAAAGACAAACGTCTGCACGATGGGACGGGATTCACCGCGTGTCATAGCCAAAATACCGTGCCGTCGTTGGTGACATTTTGCTTAATCCGGCAATCTCCTGATCTACCAGCCCGTCAGCCCACACCAAACAGAGCCGCCGCTCGTGATCGCGTACTCACCCGACCATACGAGGCAGAATTAAAGGCGTGCCGGGGTAGAGGCGTGCCAATCTAAAAACAGGATGTATTCCGGCGCTCAGCACCTACCCATTCCACAGCGGATCTTCATTCTGCAGTGGCAGAAACCGTTTTCTACGTCAGAATGCCGGCGTCAACCCCGCTGAAGGCCGCTTCTTCGTGTGCCCGCATCTATGGGCAGCCACTTCTGGGTGTGCCCGCGGGGCGCCTCGAGGAAGCGGACGCGGTACTTACTATCCAGCCCCCGAGCGTCGGCCGACGGCGCGGTCCCCGCGCGGTGGCGGCGGCGGCGCGGCGGCGGCGGCAGTGGCGCGCCAGACGCGGTGCGGGTAACAGCGGCGCGCGGTGTCGCTGCGCGCGGGCTGCAGCCATGTCGCGCGCCTCCGCCATGCCGCCGCTCGACAAGACAGACAGCCTGGAGAAGCTGGACAAGTTCACCGCCCTGGACTCGGGCTTCCACCTGCGCCAGGCGGCGCGCCATAGCCGCAAGTGCAGCTTCCCGTCGACGTACCACTCGGCGGCGCAGGAGGTGCGGCCGCGGCGCAAGTCCAGCCACGTGGTGCCCTCCAGCGACCGCATGGTGAGCGTGCCGCGGCGCAAGTTCAGCAACGTCAGCGACGTGGTGGCGCGCAAGCTGAGCACCACCATCGGCTGGCGCACGCACAACATCACGGACATCGTGCACCAGTCGAAGAGCCTGTGCTCGCAGTACGTGCGCGCGCGGCTGAAGCGCAGCGGCGCGTTCCACCGCAAGCTGGGCCTGCAGCGGCTCAGCTCGCTGGCGAGCCTGCACGGCGGCGCCGAGATCTGCGAGGTGTTCCGCGAGATGGCGCTGATCGGCGTCGAGCTCGAGCGCATGCACCCGTCCGTGTTCACGGCCATCTCGCGGCAGGTGAACATGGCCATCACGTCGGACAAGACGGTGCGCGCCGTGGTGAACTCAGTGGCCGTCGATCTGTTTCGGACCGAGGTGACCTGGGGACGGATTATCGCCCTGTACGCCGTGGCCGGAGGGCTGGCCGTGGAGTGCGTCAAGCTAGGTGAGTGGCGCGCGCGGCAGGAGCGCTGTGCGAGCCTCCGCGTGCGGGCTGCAGTCGCCAGTCTGTTGGGGCCGAACAGCGGGTAGGAGGGTTTCAGGCGTCCTCTCGGTTTGATATGGAAATGTGGTGTCGCCGGCATGAGTGGAAATCGAGCAGCTCTGAAATGTTGTCAATTATTGTACGCTATTTTCCCTTTTTAGGGAAGAGGACGATTGTCTGTATTCGCATCTGTAGTTCGCAATAGTCAAGCGGAGGACATGGGATGGGATATTTGAAGTCCGGCCCAGCCAGCTTTAGCTTTAGCTTATCCGTCACCAAACATGCCGTCCCTGACACCCAATGAGCTCAAAACTATATGAGATAGCTGTTCAACTTGTTGCGGTGAGACCCGAGCTACGAACTCCCGCATCCTTTCCTCAGACCATAGCGTCAACAGCTGACAAATCTTCCCACGCCATGAGCGTTACTACCATGGCTTGTGCTTGTCGTTACCACGCCGGCTGCACCAGGAGACCCAGCTCCCAGCCGACCTCTGTCCCACACCAGCGCTTCTCCGATGTGGTGCTTGGCCCACGACAACGGCAGATCTGCCAGCGTAGTGCAGGTAAACAGGAACCAGTCCCCTGTTTGTTTGGTGACCTGCGCATTTCCGGGACCAGATGGGATGCAGTCAGCTTGCACCGCTGGCCGTCAGCGTCCGGCACTGGGGCGGGGCTGGGACGGCGCGGGGGGGGGGCATGGGGTCTCGGCCCCGAACACACACGTGCTCTGCCGCTGACAGATCGTCACGTATACAAACATAGCGTGTTTTCATAACTGTGCACACGGGCGTCATTTCGCACCGCGAGCTTTCCGTACCGCGACATGTCACCTGACGTGGTCTGACATCAACAGCCGTGGAGTGGCACACCCCGAGGTCCACAATGTTGGCTGATCGATGAATAACGGCACAGCATGACTATCGATACACGGCGAATTTGTTGCAACGCTGTGGCTGTGCTTGGCGAGTTTTGAAGCATTGAAGACACGGACAACTCATGTTAAAAGAAGGTCAAAATCATGTATTCTTGTTACGAAGTGCATGAAAAAGGGGTGCTTCTCAATGACCTGAAATTTTGTGATGCTGAATGACGGAATACCAATGATAAGTGGCATTCCTAATCCTTTCATTGATTAAGACGCACAGCAGAGAGTTTCCGTTCTAACTAGCTTTCTAAACAGCCCGTCGTATGTATACTTTTTATCACAGTTGATGATGCTCAGTCAAAAATATAACCTATCTTATTCAGACCTGTGTCCCATTTCGTTTGAAAACCCTTTGCCCATTCTGATTATCACGGTTGTGAAATCGTTCGTAGAATGGATGAAATGATAGGCAAATTTTCTTTGGTCTCAGCAGCATCAGGTCGAAATTAGGCGAGCGTGTCTGCCGATACAGCTCGCACCTCTGGTGACGGGCCTTGTGAGCAAACACTAGGTGATATCTCGGCATCGTCACCCCTGCGACCACAAGGCAGGCGATATTGGACCACAGCGTGGCCAACACGGCGCTATCAGCCGAACAGCATGTTTGATCGGTCTGCTGATTTCCAATGCATCACTGCATCTATCGCATCCTAAAAACGACCGGTAATATGTTTTTATCAGCTGACTGTAGTTTTGGTCTTGGTCAGAAGCAATGATTGTTTTGTTTTTTGCACGGCTATCAGGCCGATATCGTCGCTGACAGCAGCGTACAAAAAGGTCGAACTTGGCCAAATTGATTAATGATTTCATTCGTACGCTGGTATCACGATCTTGAACGTGTACTAAAAATGATGAAATTGCGCCATACTCAATTCAGCTACTATGACTTGCTAATCGCCCGGACCGGGCCTGCCTTTGACCCCGCGACCGCGGCCTTGACCCCGCGACTGCTGGCAGGCCCGTGTCCGCCGAGCTCCCGAAGTCAACCCAGATGGCAGCAACCGCCATGGATTTTTCAAGCGCTTGTCACCTATTGATGGCCGCGCGGCGTATCTGGCGCACGCTGTCACTCGTCCGCCGCCTATCTGCGGCCATCTGGCACTGAGAGTGGGGCGCGCTGCGCTGTGTCGCACCCCTCGCCGCCCGCGGAGTCGCGACCGGCCGCGGCCGGCCGGTCGGGCACCTGGCACCCGGCGGCACCCGGCACTCGGCACCCGGGATACCCTCCGGTGCCTGTCCCCGGCAGGTCATTACCGAACCATCGTGTGGTGCTGTGATGGAGCAGCCAGTCCGACTGCTGGCTGTGTAACTGATCACCGCGGGCGGCCCTTGGCCCGTTGTCAGCGTCTCTATCTGCGGCCTGACGGCACGTCCGACCGGCCTGGACAGTCTGTTGGCTTCCGCTACGTTCGTTCGCTCGCGGCTTTGTTCATTCGGCGGACTTTCGTCCTTCCTGTCTGTGAATCGTTCCCGCGTTTGTTCGTTTGTTCGCAAATTTATACGGGATCAGTCCACCTCCTTGATGTTCTCATTAGTGTTCTGAGCAGCTTTACACGAGTTCACTCCATCAACAGTGATGCCAACTGTTTTCAGCACTGTGCCAACTCTATTCGTTTCCAGTCTCTTCCCCTCTACGCGGCCATATCAGGCTGTCCTCAGCACTGCACCATTGATTCATCAGCTGACTCCGGTGGTTGTGTATATCCGCACCGTTACCATGACGCCCGGTCTGCCAACCCGGATTACTGACGAGCTAAAATTGATGCCCGCTGACGTCAGCCGGCGTGTGCCCGCCGCGCAAGAACGTGACGACATCAGTCACATTAGCAGCTCCGGCCGCCAGTCCAAGTAATAAGCCACGGTCAGATGTATGGCATGCACAAAGCTCAATCACAAAGAACATGTGGGTTTGTGGTACAGAGCCCTTCACAGAGGAGTTGATGGCCTTAGTGGTACATTTTACGTATGGACATAAAGAACATGGCTGTTTATACCATATCTATGCAAACTCGAAAAACTCACGAGCGTATAGCGATGATGTCCCATAGGGACCCGAGAGAGAGAGAGAGAGAGAGAGAGAGAGAGAGAGAGAGAGAGAGAGAGAGAGAGAGAGAGAGAGAGAGAGAGCCAGAGAAGAGAGAGAGAGAGAGTAGAGAGGAGAGAGAGAGAGAGAGAGAGAGAGAGGAGAGAGAGGGAGAAGAGAGAGAGAAGATCTGCGAGGATCGCTCTCGGAGGAGAGAGAGAGAGAGAGAGAGAGAGAGCGAGAGAGAGGAGAAGAGAGAGAGAGAGAGAGAGAGGAGAGGGAGAGAGATGAGCGAGGAGAGAGGAGGAGAGAGGAGAAACCTTGTTAACGTCCAAAAGCAATCAAGTGCCGTTTTTGTCAGTGCTCTCCCCTCAAGTGCCTACGTTTTCTTATCGTATCAGCGGCCAATGTCTAATACACGCGCATACAGACGGACGTGCAGCAGACGCTTGCGCTGATATAAACTGCGCACAGGTAACAGCAACTAGATTGGCTCCAAATCGTGTGCTTGCTTTGGTGCTTTTGTCCATGGTGAAACCGTGGCCAGTACGCAACACTCATTCACCGGATGCCGGAGCAGCCATATACCCCTGGCACAGCTGCCACTTACCATGCTGACTTTATTATTCCGCTTCTTGTAGGAAAGATGGATGGCGATGGTTAAATGAATACTAAGCAGCCCCTGGCCTTAATTACGTGTCAGACGTTTACAGACTTTTAATCAGTGTTCGGAAAACTGAAATGGCCTCCTTACGTTGCCTTCAGACGTTTGGTGTGGGTGTGTGCGACTGTCAACTGGCTTTGTTACCGAGATAAGGGATAGACGTGAACAAAGAAACCACCCAAATACGGCCGATGGGTGCATGCTTTCCCAGACCACGGGATTTTCCCCTTCAGCGATCTAGTAAACATTGATTTGATAAGTTAGTCAACACAAGCTTGATCATCTACGTCATATCAAAATTAACAGCGCGTAAATATGGTCATATTTCATAGCTCAACGGTCTACCTGCCACACGATTTTATTCATGACGCATCCGTACACAAATTTATATGACTTGTAACCAGAACTTGACCATGGTTCCGCAGCGCCGTGATGTCACGGTTATTTAAAAATTCGCCGAGTTTGGCGCTTCATTTGCAGTTGTACAGCCTCCCACCCGAGTTCGCCGTCGTTAGGCCCGTGCCGTGTCGCAGCACTCCTGCTGGGCGCGCTGGTTAGACTCAGGCTCTCCCGAGTGGACCCGAGTTCGCCGTCGTCAGGCCCGTGCCGTGTCGCAGCACTCCCGCTGGGAGCGCTGGTCAGACTCGGGCTCCCCCGAGCCGCGTGGAAAACGTCACGCTCGTGACGCGTCACCTACGGGCGCGGACGATCCGGACAGCGGCACACCTCGCGCACCGAAACGGCTGCTCTGAACGCCGCGAAACGGACGCGGGGCCTGGCCAAATCCCAGCCAGTCTGTGATGCATGCGGTCACATGTCTTTCCAGCGGGTGACGTCTAAATAGCTGTCAACGCCTTTAATGAAAGCGAGCCGCAGACAGCTCAGTGTCCGCGATGTGAATTTACACCCTATGTGCAGATGTGTGAAGAATGGGGACCGCCCGCTTTCTTCGGAAGATTACAGACTCTTCTGGCGGCCGTTACGTCCGTGCAGCAGCCCGCAGTGAATGTGTGACTGCCGAGCAATGATGCCGGCAGGTGCCATCCGTGCAGCGATACTGCGCTTCAGTCGCGGTGGAGCCACCCATGCTGGCGCGGTGGCCGACGCCGGCTACTGGGCCGTGGATCGCCGGCCCGTGCTTTGTGATCCCTGATCCAAAATCCGTCGCTCATGGGCTGTGTCCCGAAGCGCGTGGCTCGTGACCTGCGATGCACGATCCCTGATCCGTGATCTGGGTCAAGCGCCGGCCGGGACGACTGCCGGTCGGCCCGCTCTGTCCACCCGCGCGGCGAGTTTTTGCGACGGGCCGGACTGAGAGGCTGGTGATAGCCGTCTATCGCCGCGTCT